AGTATGTGGGAGTCTGGGTGTGTGTCCAGGATGGGGCTGGGTTGGTGTGAACTGTGCGTGAGCAAGGGTGTGTGCGTGTGTGCATGGGTGTGCCGGCGTCCGAGTGTGTCAGCCTGTGTTCTGTCAGCAAAACCTTTTGATTGGGCCACTGGCCACAGACAAGGGGGTGGGCTGGCTCTGTGCAGGCTCCCCCTTTGTTTAGGGGCAGTAAGGCCCACAGATGAGGACAGTAGCATCAATGATATGCAGACTGGCCAAGGGCCACCATAGAGCAGCACGCATCAAACTTTGGTGTGCACATGAATGACCTGGGAATCTTGCTAAAATACAGGTTCTGACACCGCGGGTCTGGGGTGGGGCCTGAGCTTCTGCATTTCTACCATGCTCGCGGCGGGGGGTGGGGGGGTACCAGTGCTGCTGGCTCTGAGATCACACTTCGAGTGACAAAAGTATTAACAAAGCTATTGATCCTGCCTGTAGCAGGCCCCCAGAACTTCACAGACACAGGCTCAAGTTCCTCCTATAGAAAATAAAATAAATAAATATCCTTCCTCAGCTCCTGCAAGCTTTATGTCCCACCAGCTATTGCCCTGACGTAGTTCCTGAACTCAGCTGAGCTTCTCGAGGGTTTTAGCTCAGTGCTCTCACCTCCTCCCACTCTTCATCCAGGCCTAGCCACCTTGGGCCATTAACACAAGTATTTCCACTCTCATCTAAGGGCCTCCTACAGGCACCTGGCTTCACCCCCGCTCTTAGTGTGATCTTCCTGACACCACAGGAGGCGTCTCCATCTCCTTGGCCAGCCTACCGTCCTCTGTTCAGCCTTTAAGCATAGATTCTCCTCCTTCCCTTCCCCACTCAACTCTCTGCCAAGCCTCCCATGACAGTGACCTCCAAACACACATCTCCAACTCAGATTTCTCCCTGTCCTCCAGATCCCAAATAATCTGGCCACGTGGTGCGTTCTCTCAGCAATTCAAAACTGCACCCCAAACTCTGCCCTTGCCCTGAGAGCTGCCCCTTCTCCAAGGTTCTCCATCTCACCATCCATCTCCTAGCTTGAGCCAGACAGTGCCACCCTCGACACCTTCTTCCTAACCTCCCCGTATCCAATCTGATCAGCCCTGTTGATTTTAACTTTTGTCTCTTAAATGTCTTTATTCTGTTCTGAGGCACGTAGCCACCACTGTTATTAAATATCTGTCTCCTAGAGGGCTACCCGCTGGGCTCCTGCTTCCATACTGCCTTCTGCAGTCCACTTTCCCTGGGCAGCCGTAGGGGCGTCTCAAAATGAAAATTTAGTCATGCCCTCACCCTTACCCTTCCACCTCAAACCTTTCAAGAC